CACACTCAGCACAGAAAAATGTCCCCCCCACCCACCCTCTCCGTCCACAGCCTTAGGTCCACCAGAGAGAAACTGTTTGGAGCATGACCTGAATGAAGTCATTCTTCCCAGGGGGAAAAAAAAAATGCCTTGCATGGCAGAGAGGGCCTATTTTAACTCACTTTGGGAACCTGTGCGGGAGGGGAGGGGGGGGAAAGAGGGTGAAGGAGGGAAGGAAGCCCTGCCTAGGAGTGTGCTTGTCAGGGAACAGGGTGGGCTGGGAGAGGAGAAAGGGGCAGAGCAGGGAACCAAGCTATTGCCCCAAGTTTGCTTCCCTTGGGAGTTTGCTGGCCATGAAACTGGGCTTTGCTCTTGGGGGCAGTCGGGGCTGGCCTGGGGCAGGGTTCCTGGTGGCACAGAGCAGTTTCCCTTGCCCTGTTTTGTCAAAGGAAGCGCTGCGGTGAGTCCATGCCCTGGTTAAGTGCCCGGTGGGGTCAGTGTCCCAGCTGTGCTCCTCTAAGTGATTAGTCATCAAGGTGGGCTCTTTTGGGGAGCCAAGTGCACCAGCCTTCAAGCAGCACAGCAAGTTGCCCACCTCCCTGGCTGCCTAAATCGCTTCAGGGTCCAGCCCTCCATTGCCTTCTGCCTGCTTCATGGCCCTTCTGCCTGCTTCATGGCCCTTCTGCCTGCTCTCCTCCCCCTCCCCGGGCACTCATCTAGCATCAGCCTCCCTGCTCTATCCTTTCCCACAAGCTCAACACTGGTGGTGCAGGAGCCTTCTCCTCCACAGCTCCTGCTGTTCAAAACAGACTCCCCCTCACTGACTCTCCACATGGTCACCTGTACACGCCTCTCCCTCTAGAGCATGTCAGAGGCCAGTTTGTATGGGAGACATCTCCGGTTTATACATCACTGGACTCTAGTCCAGTGGTTCTCAACCTGTGGTCGATGGACCCCTAGGAGTCTGCAGACTATGTCTATTATTTCCAAAGGCGTCTGCACCTCCATTCAAAATTTTTTTAGGGGTCCACTCATGAAAAAAAGTGGACTAGGATAGTGGTTCTCCATCCACATATGCCCCATGCTTTATGGTTTCTCCTGTACCTGACACACACACACACACACCCCTTCTCTCTGGACATACTTTACAAGGAGGCAGCCATGCCACGCTACGGACTCCTAACCTTCAAGAGTGTAAGGTGCTGAAGGGGTTAAACAAGTTTTGGGGAAAACAACCCTTGTTTTAAGATGGGGTTGGGGAGAGAGGCAGAGAAATGTAACTGCAGTCTGCCAATAAGCCTGTGGAGCCCAGACAACAAGCCAACTGGGCAAGGAGATCAGACAAGCTGGTTGAGACACCTTCACTGTGGATGGTGGTCTCATCTCATTTGCCCAGCCCCATCGCTGAGCAATGAAGAGACGCCTTCAGCTGCAATCGCTCTCCTTGCAAGTAAAACCAGCAGGCTCCTGTCACTCTGTCTGGAAACGCCCTGGCTAGCTTCTCTGCCCACTGACCAAACCCAGCCAGGTTCTGGAGTGAACTCTGAGCAAGCTGGGGGATGGTGCAAACCAAGGTGCATGGTAACGGTCACCCTGACCAAGTTACTGGTTTGAGCACGAGCATCCAACCCCAACAGAGCCATGTTTGTTTAAAAGGATCCGAGCAGCTTTGGTTAGTGAAGCTCTGAAATAGGGACCGTGTGTAGGGTGAGGTGTGTATATGTATGAGAGAGAGGAGGAAGAGCCCTCCAAACAAGAGCCACGCTACAGCAGCAATAAGCCTGGAGGGAAGCCAAGGGTACCAATGGGAACCCTCTATAAAGTCAGCAGCTTTAATGGGATGCTGCCCGTTTCCAGCCAGAAAAGCTGGGACACATACTGGACCCTGCAGCTGACTGAGGAATGCAGAGAAACCTGGCTAATAAGCTTTTCAACAGCAAGCCTAGTCAACAGGGTGGCTACCACCAGGGCTAGTATCTCCCCAACTTAGGCCTCCAGGTATCATCCTCTTTATCCCAGAGGCAAAGTACTCCCATTATGAGACCAATAATACGGACAATCCTCAGTGGGACAAGAGATAAGGATGTCCTCAGGAACAACATGACCAAGCTAGAGTAGCTCGATTTTCAGAGGTGCTGCCCATGCGTAAGTCCCACTGAACTCAGGGGTTATGGGAGCTCAGCACCTCTGAAAGTGAGAAGCTAAGTAAAGTTGAGCATGGATACTGCCCAGGCCCCACTACAGAGATGTTACAGATTAGGAAGAGCATGATTAAAATATAGGCCAGCATTCATGTGCCAAAGTCACCACGCCTGCTTCAGTCTTCTTTCCATACTAATTAATAGGGCTTGGCACATCATCTAGCACATTTCCATTCATAGAGCTCAAAGCACATTACAAAGCGTTAACCTCATTTTACAGGTAGGAAAATGAAGGAACAGAGTGACTTGGCCAAGGTCACATAGTGAGCCAAGAATTGTAAATTCTCCAGGGCAGGGGCTGGCTCTGTTGTGTCTATTGTACCGTGGCCAGGACATTTTAAAAGTAAAGCTAACAACAACATAACCAGGCATCTCTGGCCCCGAGGCCTGTGCTCCCTCCACTGGAGCATCCTGCCTGGAGTGTGGGTTTTAAATAGACACCCCACACACACTTTTTTTTTTTGGTAAAGCCACCCTTAAGCTACGCACCCAATGACCCACAGATGCAAAGTGCCCTTGAAAATTACCACCAGGCAAACCCTGGGGGAAAGCTTTTGGTAACTGCAATTCAGCAGGTTCAGGCAATTCATGTTTAAAAGAGTCAGAGAAGCATCAGGCCAAGTTTACCATCCATTGGCGACTGGCCCCCTGGAGTCCTGGCTGTGCTGGAGGAGGGGTAGCAACGAAGCATGAACTCTTCATGCACCTAGGATTGCTCATTTCTTTTTAAGCAGCCAAGATCTGGAGCGGTGGGAGGATTTACTTTTGCTGCATGGCACTGGGTGACTGCCACACACACTGCAGATACCCAGGGCACTTTTCAGGGCTCCTGGGCACTGAGTCTAGATTTTGGGAGTCGTCTCATGCTGAGACTGCAGGGCAGTGCGTTCAAATCTCTCCTTCCTTGGCATGGGGGAGGAGGAGCACTGGAGGCCGCTGCACAAGGGCTCATCCCCATTATATTCAGAGCCGCAAGAAGCCAGCTTCCACCAGAGACATCTAGATAAAGGGTGCAAAAAGGAGACTGAGGGGGAACCCTCTGAACCTTTCTCCTTATCTGGATTAGTGAGGCCAGTGATAGAGAGGGAGGAGCCTCACAAACCAGATTTGCAGACTCAGGTCAGCTCAAGCAAAGATTAATCTGATTTGCATTCAATTCTCAGAATTCATTTTTTTTAAAAGAGGTACAGGCGGGGCAGGGCGGGTTGGGAGTTAAAATCCTAAATCAAAATTTCAGTGGAGCAACACGAAGCAGCATTTTGTTCTCACACTCTCAGAAGCAACAAGCTTGTCATAACTCATTAGATCAGAGGAGGTGGGAAGGAGAGAGATTAAATAGATCTGAGGTTTGGGGCAGGATGGGATGATCTGGAGGCCACAAAGAGAAACAAAACTGGCTGGCTAGAGGCATTTTTGTGCCAAGTGCATGAGATCCCAGCGCAGAAGTAACTGTACAGACCCTGTGCACAGCACTGTATGGGTGTGCCTGGACTGACAGGGAGTTATGACAAACACTAGGTTTCAGGACAACCGTAGTATTTGCTGCTGCTGACACACACACACACACACACACACACACACACACACAACAGCAACACAACTTCTAGGTGGGGAGCTGCACACACGTCATTCCCACAGGCAGGAGTGCTGGCACAATTTAGGGGGCGGGGGGGGGAGGGAAGGTGCTGAGAGCCGTCGAACCAAACTGTACACCCTGGATAATGGAAACCACTTCAAGCCAGGGGGTGCTGCAGCTCCCCTAGTTCCAGCACCACCCCCCACAGGGCCAGGCAGCAGGATCCAACCCAACTTCCCAAAGTTACACAAGCTCCCCGGAGCTCCCCGCTCTTACCTTGCTCTCGTCGTCATCGTCCTCCTCCTCCTCCTCTTCTTCCTCCACCACCTCAGCAGCCTGGCGGGGGATGTTCATCTCCTGAGGGTGGCTCTGCTTGTCTGCTTTTGCAGTCCTGGCTGCCACCGCCACCGCCTCCTCCTTGGTCTGCTGCTCTTCATTCTCCTCGGCTCTCTTCGCCTTCCCCTCTTCAACCCCAATCTCCTCCACCGGGATCCTTCTCCCCTCGTCCTTCGCTCCTTCCTCGTCCTTCTCCCCCCTCGGAATCCCCTCCTCCTTCAGCGCTTCTCCCTCCTTCCCTTCCCCCTCGCCATCCTTCCTCTCCTCCCCCTGCTCGGTTGCCTCCTTGCCCTGGGACCCTTCCCCCTTGGCTGTCTCGGCAGTTTTGTCCCCTTCAGTCGCTCTCAGCTTCACAAAGACCGAAGCCAGGATCACAGCCAGGACTGTGAACAGCAGCGGGACCGCCAGGTACAGATCCACGGCCACATCCATCTCAGGGCAGCCTCTGGAGCCCGAGTTGCAAGGGACTAAGGGCGTTGCTTGTTTTTTTTTTGTCTGGCTCCCCTGCGCGGCTGCTGCCTGGGAACAACTGACCCGCTCTGGCTAATTTCAACGGGCAGCGCAATCTGCCCGCAGCTGTGAGCGAAATCCCGGCTCTGCTAAAGCTGGATAGGGTTTCACAACATCCACAGCAGCAGCGTCATTTCCCAGGGCCCTGCCCACAGCTGCCTTCCCACCGCGCAGGCAGCCCAAGTTGTGAGGTTTTCTCTCCCCCCCCTTTCTCCTTCAGTGTGTTCCCAGCCCGGGCCCAGCCCCCCTCCCCGAGCATTGAGAACCAGGTCTCCACTCCCCTAGGAAAGGGGGTTCCCTCCCCCCCGGGGACGATGTTGGGAACAACCAAGCTAGCCTGATGGAAGTGATCAGCTCTCATAGAAGCGGGCTGTGTCCAAAAGGCTCTTTCCAGAAAGTTCAGGGGACTCATCGAGTTCTTAATTTAAACGAGCCTTGCTTTGATTGTAGCAGTGTTTAGGCAGCACCCTTGTCCTCCTCTGTAAGGCACCCGACTCTCAGCCCCTCCCTCTCCTTCCTGGAGCCCGATTAAATTCACTGCATGGGCATCTACTGACTTGGATCTGACTGCAGGATCTGGGGACCCTGTAGTGAATGATTTGCACCTTATTATCCCTTTGTTCGGTAACGGAAGGGCTGCTCATGGGAAAGGTGGATCTGGAGGTAAGAGGATGCCAGAGCTCCAGAATGCCTCCTCTTCCTCCCTCCCTCCCTCCATGCTGGAAGTGACAGGAAGCCCTTCTTTGTGGACTGGCCAGGCTGCCCTTTGCATGGATAAAAAGGACTAAGCAGGGAAAATTAGATGCCTGTATTACTCCCATCTGTCAAATGGGGTTGGTTATACTTAGGCTGTGGAATGGTCTCCCGAAGGGAGTGACGGGACATTGTGTGGAACATTTTAAAACTAGATTGGGCCAAATGCTTCACAGGGACCCAGCTTGGACTGGGTGATTTGTCAGGACTTTTAAGTCTCTGCCATCCAGGATTCCCTGCCTGTGGGAGGCTCAGTTAAGGTTTGCAAAGCACTTTGAAAATAGAAGGTGCTATATGAGTGCTAATTATTGTTGCCACAGTGGAGCGTCAGGGGAGCAGACATGGGAATCTGGCTCCCATAGCTACCCCAGCAAACATTCCGTGGTTGCATATGTGAGTGGGCAGTTTATTGATTGACTAAAAAATAGCCCCCTCTCCCCCATCCAAATTAAATCCCAAGGGAGGGAGGAAATGGACTGGAGCTGATTCTTGCTGCGCTGGGTAATCCTATCAAGCAGGAGCTCATTAGCCTATGGATATTTGTATTCTTAGTAACAAACAACCACAGCACTTAATCTTCTTCTTCTCTGTGCAGCTTTAGGTTTCATGGGAGATCATCATAGCCACACTACAACTCAACCTGAACAATAACAAATGATTTACAGCTACTCGGGATTTAGAGAATCAATGCAGCATCTCAGGCTTCTCAAACACAGTTTTTGTTACCTCTCCCCTCCATTCTTGAGGCTGGTAATGTTATGAGCATCAGAAAATTTGACTCATTAAATAGAGGTAATGGGAAAAGAATGTGATATGCCATAGAACGAATCCTCCATCATCTCAGTTGTCCTTGTGGGCTATAGCTGGTGGAGGCTACCTCTTTCTCAAGCTGTCTCCTGTTATAATGACCCATTGTTCCCCAGGGTGGGCCTTGCCAGGCTGAGAGCCTGACGTCTATCAGCTCACTTTTTGGCACTGAATGGAATATTGATTATTAGGGCATGGCAAATACCCCACTCTTTGGCTCTGGCTGATATTCCTAGGCAGAGGTCATGCCTCAGCTAGCACCTTGCATCCCAGGATCTTGCAGCACTACAAATAAGCTGAGCCTCACAACCCGCAGTGATCCAGGGACATTGTTCCTATTTTACAGAAGGGGAAACTGAGGCACAGAGCAATTAAGGCCAAATTGTACAATAGCAGCCTCTGATGTGAGAGCCTCAAGTTTCAGGTGCCCAACTGTAGACACCTGGAACCTGATTTTCAGAGATGATGTGCACCCACAACTCCAGCTAATGTCAGTGGGATCTGCAGGGGCTCAACACCTCTGAAAAACCAGCTAGAGGTCTTGAAAGTTTGGCATCCAATAATGCTGGGACGTCTTTGAAAATGTCACCCAATGCAATTGCCCAAGCTCACCCAGTGAGTCAGCAGTAGATCAGCAACAGAGCTCAGATCTCCTGAGTCCAGCCTCTGGCTCTAACCACTAGACCTTGCTCTCCCTCTACCCTTCAGGTGCTCTTTGGTCTCCTGAATATAATTTTCCTCCACTTCCGAATAACAATCTCCCACAATGGGCCCTGAATACACCACACACATTTACCCATTTGCTGAGGATAGCTGGTGGCCCTCCCCTCTTCTCTATTTTTCTCAAGGGGCAGGGGGATGCTGGCTCATCGTGCATCTTTTTTTGCACCAGGCACGTCAACCTGCCCCCAATCCAGCATGTATGTTTTTTGGGGTGGGGAGAGAGGCAGGCTGGGCAGTCTACCAAGCTCCCTCATCTCCTCCTAACAAATTCTGCCCCTTAAACTGAGGGTGCACTAGGCCCTTGAAAAACCTAGCTCATGTAACCAGCTGTTTCCCTGAAGGTCTAGGTTCATAAGGACCTCCTTTCCTGGATCCCAAAGGAGGACGGCCGCTGGGGGAGATCTTCCTGTGCCTTTGGAAACCAAGAAGAGGGGGGATTCCAAGCCAGCAGCAGGATTAATGCCCCCGGCTCTTGTCTTGACTGCAGCAGACTAAGAGACAGGAAGCCAAGAATTCACATAGCAAAAACACAGGCTGGAAACACTCAGCTTGCTGAACGTGGCTGATTTTCACATTAATAACTATCTGTCAAATTCGCTATTCAGGTTCCCAGCCCTGTTAATTGTTGCCCTGCTCCTGCCCACCATGTAAAAAGACTCAGCAGGGCCCTTGCCAGGCTTGGCAGCATGGATTGCCAAGGGTGCAACACAGTTGGTCAATCAACCCTGTCTTACCCTCCACTCTGTGTGTGTCCATTCAATCTTTGGCTTCTCTGCTGCCATTGCCAGCGCCAAGGGGATCAGGTAGTGCTAACCGTGACGGTGTTTAATGCTCTGGGGACATACATCACCCAGGATTCCACTCGTAAGACTGCCCCCCTTTTTAAAGTGCTGTTTGTTAATGGGTACAGCCCTTTTTCAATGGGCAGGGCTAGCTTTTGAGAAAGCCGCCATGTATTTGTGAGCCATCTTTGAAGAGCATGCTGCCCTCTACTGGGAAAAGGTTGGCTCAACACCAGACACTCAACTGTCAACCAGGGTATGAAATAATCCATGGAAAAGGGCTAGCCTACACAGAAAGGCAGACAGTGGCTTTGTAAAAGCATAGCGATCATCAGACTAAGAGGAACCATCTCTGCCAACCATCTGTGGATGGATCTAATCAGAGGGGCTGAAAAAAGCTGGAGATATTTTTAACTAACAAAAGAGGAAGAGAAAAGCCAAAAGGAGATGACTTAAAGGGCATTTCCCCAGGGACAGAAAATCCAGTCCAGGTGCTTAAGAATGTGACCAGCTGCTAGTCTCCCTCCTCTATATATTCAGTTCATGGACAGAGGAATTAGATCCCAATTGTACCCTCAGGAGCGTCTGGCACAGAAGGGACACACCCATTCACAGTAGAGCTAAAGCAACCAGGAACAGTTTCATCTCACTCTTGCGAGACAAGATCCTGCTCTATTCAGGTATAATCCTGGCTCAATACATCAGCTGGGTTACTGCCCACATGGGATGAAAACTGTGCTAGCAACAACCCTACTAAGTGCTCTATATTCTCAAAACTGCCATATTGGGGTGGGGGGTTGGGTCATGCTCGAAAATCTTCCCTGCATGGATGGGAGCAATATCCTGCTAGCCAAGGAAACTGCTAGCAAACGCTATGCTTCAAGGTCCAACAAGAGGTAAGTTTATCTAATCAGTCCACCAGGGCCATGTCAGTTTCCTACCTTACAGATAACAGTGCATGAGGGTTGATGCGGCCTCCTGGAAGCAGATGGACAGCTTCAGAGGAGGACCTTGTAGTAGAGAAATGACCAAGGTGTCAACCACAGCCCCTCCCCACCAGCAACCCCTCCTTTAGTAGTTTTGTTAGCAGAGGGTCCTGAACTACAGTTATTTGCCGCACAATTTAAAATAAATTAATAGATTGATTCTATCCCCAAAGGGAAGGCCAAACTGATTTATAATTTAGCGGCCTGTCATGCTTTCTGTAACACGCACTGAGAGGAGTTTGGCCCCTTCTATTGCCAAAGAAAACACCCTAGGCTGGGTCTGCCCCGAGGTGCTTTTGAAATTCCCCTACTCCGCTCTCGCACCAGAACATCTTCACGGGCAATGATAGGAGCACTAGTGTAAATCTGCTGCTGTTTTAACCACCCTATCATCTCTCTCTGCTCACAGCAGATTCTGTGCTTACTTCACTAACTCACTGTATAAACTTAGGCAAGACACTCAAGTCACCATTTTCAAATGTCCACCCATTCTGGGTGCCTTCATTTTTGAGTAGTCAACCTGCACCCCTGATTCTCAAGCTACTAAGCACCCATGGCTCCTTTTGACATCCGTTGGAGTTATGAGAGTCCAGCTTCACTGAAAATCAGGCATCAGGAGTCTCATATGTTGGGTACCCCCAAACTCACAAGGCCCATGGAAAACATTGGCCAGCCAGGCCTTAGTTTGCCCTTGTCCAAAATCTACAAGCCAGGTGTGATATGGGTGGTGCCTTGTAAAGCACTGTGAGATCCCTGCATGGAAGGGCCTGTTGTGCATGATATTATTTTAACAACAGGGATTTGCCCAACGCAACCATGGCAGCCACAAGGTATTTAGTGGTGTTTAGGTGGCCCTTTTCAGCTCTGTGGGAACTCTGTCATTCTAGCATACGGTTGTGAGGCTACTGCACATGCTGCATTCGAGATTCACTGTAAAACATCATTGTTTCTAACCTCTGTTCTGAGATCCATGACAACATTCACTTCACATCAGACCCTGTAAGGAGGGGGCCACTTTTACCTTATTTGGCAAGTGTGCTTCTAATTGAGGCTAATAGGGGAAAGATGGCAGAGCTAGACAGGCTGTCACATGGTAATTAAAGCTTTACATTCCAAC